AGCAGGCGTTTCGTGAAGTATCGGGGTCCTAAACCGTTTAGGGCCTTATATGTAAGCATTAACACTTTGAAGTCAATGCGGAAACGGATGGGCAGCCAGTGCAGCATGGCCAGAGTAGGAGAGATATGTTGGTATTTTCTCACTCCAGTAAGTATATGATTAAACCAATAGACAGGTTTGTTTGAATCATTGTCATTGCTTGTGATTAAACAGGCTATCTTCTATAGTATTATTATTATAGTATGCTGCAGATAAAGCATATCAAATTAACTTGATCTACCGCAAGCTACATTGCAGTTTGTTTTTCTTAACTTTCCTGTTGTCATAAATTGAAGTATCTATTTTAAAGAATAGATGCATTTTCTTCAGGTGTTTTCTGCTTGATATTGTTATTGTTATAGTTAGTGAAGGTGGTGATTTCTAAAACATCATTTTGGTATAAATTAGAAATATTAACTTATTTTAGATGTATATATTATGGACACACAGCAGAGTTCATTTTTACTCTTCAAATTCTTTAGTGTTTGACTTCCATCAAGCTGCTGATGGCATCCAAGAACAACAAAGGCAAGAGCAAGCTGGAAAGAAGTATGTTGCATTGTGTCAAATGTCTTAATTGTTAAATAGTGAAAGAAGTTCTGACATGAAGGTTATTCTAGTTAATTTTCTTCCAGGATCTTTTAAGCAAATACTCTTCTGTTATGAATGCTTATTTGTAAAATTATTTCTGATTTTTTTTTCCTCTAAGAAAGCAGGAATTTCCCATTTCCCATTTATTTGTACATATATCTAAGACAGCAATTTGAAGAATTCAGAAGTGGATAGTTTGTTTTCATCCCAAAGAGGAGTGCAATAAAAGTCTAATTCTCTTGATACTGAAATACATATACAACTATTTGTGCAACAATTTTGTTGCAAAGCAAATATTTTAACACAATGAGCATATGTGAAAAGGGAAGTATATCCATGAATCTAAATTTATTAGGAATACAATTTTGTTCTTGAGTGGGAAATATACCTGAACTTCAGGAATCACATTACAGCTTGTTACTGTGCAGCAAAATAGAGTTGAGGGGGCATTTCTAAATCTTAGAGGTTATTCCTAGCAATATCATGGGTGTAGTCAGAATGGAGAGTAGAAAATTCTGTTCAGAATTTTGGCATTGACTAGAAATCAGTTAAATAGTTACATGGGTGTTGTTTGGTAGTATAAATTTCAGTGACAAATCACTGCTATTTAAGAAGCCAGGATTTGCTTTTCTTACCTTGTGCTAAGTCATGCAACTTGGATGTGAAAAATTTTTCAAGTGCTGATTCCTTAACTGGTGGCAGTTTATGGCTGAGATTTAATGCTATTGGACTTATGCCAATAGTTGTGATTAACAGGGTCAAGGCCTTGGGAGTGTACTGGAAGTGGATAGAATAGGGCTTCTTCATTCATATGTTCTTTTTTTCCTCTATGGCAAGAATGTTGATAAGACATTGAGGATAAGCTGCTTTTTCTCTTGATTCCGCCCCCCCAATAGTAGTGCAACATAAGGATATTGATTTAGCTTTATCTATAGACATTATCAAATATTTGATAAATTAGCTCATTAAAAGAACAATCCAGTTGTCTGCCTATAAAGAGACCCCCAAAAGGAAAAAAAAACTGGAATGTTGCCTTTTAATGATATCAGGGAACAGAATTCCTATGGTGGAATCTTAAATGGGTCAAAATAAACTGCATCTGGTCTTGGTAATCTCATCAGAATGTTCTGTATTTGCCATTTAATGATCCTGCTTATGCTAAGGTACCTTTACATACCCCTTCTTGTCCTGGGATTTCTTTATTCTTGTGATTACAGCCTGTGATACCTCCTCCTGCCTTGCTTTTCTTGGTGTTCTTGGCTGATCTAATAAAGCAGAGGGAACTAATACATCCTCTAGTAGCTAAAGTATAAATGGGAGACTGAGTCTCAAGATGTATAAAAATGATAGCAGTGCAGATTTTATTCTTATCTAAAAAGCTCAGGTGCGATGCGTTTCAGTAGTGGCCTTCTGTAGTTAAGCATAAAATAAAATAATATATTAATTTAGAAACAGCTGGCTTGGGACAGTTACAGCTTTTTTTCCCCTTATCTATATAGTTGACAATATAAAATGCTAGTAAATAACAAGATACATTAACTCCAATATAGCTTAATAACAGCATATAAAGTACATACCAAGCTTTTAAAACTTTTGCTTCTTGTTTGGTCTGTACCAGCTCCAATGTTAATCCAAAATACAAATACAAAAGGGATAGTATCTATTTATTCTCAGCTGGCAGATAATCAGTAAGGCAGTAGGGGCTGTGCTATAGTAAGGGCAAGAAATCTATTTCTTCATTTAGCCCAAAAGGGGCTAGAGAATGTTCAACCTCTAGCCTCTATTGAGGTTGAACACTCTAGCCCTTTTTGGAACTGATATGAGAATCAAATGAGAATCAAAAGTTTCAAAGCTTATATGCTATCATTACACTGTATTGGAGTTTCTGTATCTTGTTATGTGTGCCTGAGCTTTATAAATTAGAATAAAATCTGCACTGCTATAATTTTTATACATCTTGAGACTCAGTCTCCCATTTGTACTTCTGCTCTTGGCTGATCTGCCATGATGTAACATTTGAAATTTTAGGTGGAGTTGTTACAGACAAATTACTAGATTTGTCTTTGTCACCATGCAGTGACAAAAGTGTACAGTCCAACTTCAGGCCACAATATAAAATAGAGGCTAGAGTTGAGTACTATGTGCCTGTTGAAATCAACGATTCTTGAATAATTTTGGTCATGTGTAGCCCCAGTGCTGGAGGCTTTTCAATCGACATTAGTATAGATCAGCTGAACAGTTTTAGAACTTTTTGCTGGGCAGAGTTAGCCACTTTTGATACAGTGTATACTATAACTAATTTGGGAGGCAAAGGAGAAGGTATAATGCAGGGCACAAAACAAATTCTAGGCTTCCAACAGCAAATAATTTTAAATTGAAATCCTAAATAGTTCTGATCACATTGAGTGATAGTATCAATATCAATGTACCCTAATCTCAGCAGCTATCCTGTGCTTGAAGTACCTTTATGTGGTCCAAGGTCCAAGCTATCTAAAAGACTACATCCCCCTCTGTGAGCCTGCATGGGTTCATAAAATCATCAGCAGAGGTCTTTCTCTCAGTCCCACCACCCTCATAGGTGTGTTTGTTGCGGACATAGGAGAGGGCCTTCCCTGTCACTGGTCCTAGACTCTGGAAATCTCTCCCATGGGAAGCCAGGCTGGCCCCCTATTTACTGTCATTCCGCAAGCAGGGAAATACCTTACTTTTCAGGCAGGCTTTCCCTTAGTGCCTGGTGGACTGAGAGGGTTTTTTTAAAGTGGATTGTTGTGCTCTGTTGCTTTTAAATGTGTTTTTGGAATTGATTTTAATTATATTTAATATAATGTTTAATTTTAAAAAAATATTTCTGTGCTTACTGGTTTTAGCTTGTCTTTCTAATGATGTAAGCTGATGTGAGTCCTTTGAAGGAGAAAGACAGAGTAAAAATATTTTAAATAAATAAATATTTTAAATAAATAAAAAATAAATGTTGCTTTGTTCTTCAAAGGTTAAAGTAGCTTATAGTACTCTTGTTTAAGCTTATATTTTTAGCATGCTAGCATTCTTACCATTAAGGTTCTTTGCATTAGGAAGTTTTGTCCTCCTTTGAAAATGCAATGAGATTTGTACTAAATGTATATATAATAACAAAATGTAAACATTATAAATGTGTAGTCTTGTGTTCATCATCTCTGTGGTCAGAAATTTATTTAGTGTTTACCTGATAGACTACAGTGTATTTCTAAGTATATGCATATTATTGTACAAATAATAATGAGGATTATTGTCCATCATTTGTATCATTTACTTGGTTTTTGCCCATTTTCAGAATATCTCCCTCCCCTGACTGGCAGTTGAAAACTACAAAAATGCTTATATATTTAGACATTTGTTGTTATTGGTCAAATGTGAGAGTCAGCAGATTGTGTAGTGTGTGTGTGTGTTTTTATTATTTTTGTGTTTTAAAGCTTGGGAACTACAAAAAAGGGAATTGGTCCAGTGTATTCTTCTAAAGCAGCTCGAAGTGGGCTCAGAATGTGTGATCTAGTTTCTGACTTCAATGAATTTTCAGAAAGGTAATCACTTCTTCAGTGTAATGTTGAATTTCAAATGTATGTTCTACTAGGATGTTGGGTTGTTTTAAATTTTAAGATTCTAATTTTCATCTTAAAATTTTTTACTGGATTTATCAAATGTAAATTTTCCCCTCTGTCTCATAAGTCAAAACGTGTAAATGGTTCATATGCATTGTGCAAGTATAACAGAATATACGTCTCTTTTTCTTATTTTATAGATTTAAAGTGTTGGCCAACCAGTACAAGTCTATTTATCCTACCTTAGAGATAGACATTGAAGGGGAGTTGAAAAGACTAAAGGTAAGAGCCAGAAATATAGTTGGTTTATCTGGATATTACTTTTTCTATGCATATTCATCCTAATTAAAGAGATTTCTAAACTTCCTCTAACATGTGCCTTCATCTACTATGTTACTTGTGTGAGACTTCCTAATAGGAATAGGTGACTAGATGGCTTTGTCAGAATATTCAGCTTTTATTTCTTTGATGAACTATTAAGTGTATAAAAGGTATTTTGTGGTGAATTCTCTGTTTCGTCAGATAAAGAATGACACAGTTACCTTTGGTTGTAATGATTTAATCAGAATCCAGTAGAATTTCAATGCAAGGATAAGGGCAGTTTTACAAACAGTTTTTGCATTTTACAGGCTGTCTAGTATATGAGCAATTGGATAACTGGAGCATGAAAAAAGGTGTGATCACCTTCCCATACTTGGTGACACTAAGAGGAATCTTTAAGATAAAATTTTGATGTTCATGTTTTACATTGGTGTGCCAGTTTTGTGGATAAGGTAGCGTACTGTACTATTTAAAAAAACATTTGTCACGGATCTGGTGTAAATCCGATTTGATGTTTAGAATGTTGATGGACATTTTTGTCCCTCACATAAATTTTAAAACACCAGTGAGTAGGTATAGAAAAAATTGTGGTCAGAACCACAACATTGATCCGTAACCAGGACTGCAGATATAAAGAAAGAGGCACCAGCTAAATCAAAAAGACCAATAATGCAAAACCAGGGAGATCTTGAACCCAGGGTCTAGCACTAGTCTGGACTCTTATCATCCAGGAGACTTAATGTAGAGCAGTGGTTCCTAAACTTGATTAACCCAGATGTTCTTCGGCTGCAACTCTCAGAAACCTTCACTACTAGTAGTGCTGGCTGGGGTTTCTGGGGATTGCAGTCAAAGAATGCATGGGTTATCCAAGGATTGGAACTGTTGATTTAGGGCCACTGAATTGAAACTTCCAAAAACAGGATCAGGAGATTGAGGGCATGTCATGCTCCTTTACGTTTGTTCACCCATATCACCAGTGCACAAACCAGAATCTCTCTGAGAGGTAATGACACTGGCTTCTGGGCTGGAGGACTGGGTTATGCTCTTAGGAATAATGAGTTTTTAAAAATTAGTCTGACCCAATAAGAGATATATAAAAGGAGCAACTTCTACTGCTATCTTCAGGTGTCTGTTTTGCTGCATGTTATGTATTTTGTCACAACCACACAAAAGGTATGTTCTTCACAAAACATATTACTACTGTACAGAATTCACTGTTGCAAGATAAGTCTGTGATTAATGACATTAGTTGTTGTTTAGTCATTAAGTCGTGTTCGATTCTTCGTGGCCCCATGGACCAGAGCACGCCAGGCCCTCCTGTCTTCCACTGCCTCCCGGAGTTTGATCAAATTCATGTTGGTAGCTTCGGTGACACTGTCCAACCGTCTCGTCCTCTGTCGTCCCCTTCTCCTCTTGCCCTCACAGTTTCCCATCATCAGGGTCTTTTCCAGGGAGTCTTCTCATGAGGTGACCTGACTAGCCCAGTGGTTTTTCCTCCTTTCTTCAGTTTGAGCTTGATTTTTGCTGTAAGAAGCTGATGATCAGAGCCACAATCAGCTCCAGGTCTTGTTTTTGCTGACTGTATAGAACTTCTCCATCTTTGGCTGCAGAGAATATAATCAATCTGATTTCACTATTACCCATCAGGTGATGTCCTTGTGTAGAGTCACCTCTTGTGTTGCTGGAAAAGAGTGTTTGTGATGACCAGCTTGTTCTCTTGACAAAACTCTATTAGCCTTTGCCCTGCTTCGTTCTGAACTCCAAGGCCAAACTTACCTGTTGTTCCTTTTATCTCTTGACTACCTACTTTAGCATTCCAGTCCCCTCTAATGACAAGAACATCTTTCTTTAGTGTCAGTTCTAGAAGGTTGTGAAGGGTTAGAAGGTAGAAGTGAGCCGTCCGCAGAAATAAAAATAAAAGACAAAGACAACGGAAGGAAACAACAGGTTAACAGTAAAAGTGGCGAAGAAGACAAGAAAGAGTTAATAGAAGGAGAGGGGGAAGGGAAGGTAGAGGTATGCTTGGCTGAAGGAGAGTGGGAGGAGTCAGAAGTGACAGTTGG